GGCCTAGATTAGAGCCGGATGGAGACTGTAAGCCCCTGGACGGCAGGGATGGTTTCACTTTTGTCTCTGATGCCCAGCACTGTGCCAGGAACAACAGAAGCTTCATAAACATTTGTTGCTTGGTCGAGCCCAGGAGTCTCATTTTAAAGAGGAGGAAGCTGAGAAGTGAGAACCACAAGGAGGTCCCAGGTTGGGCACACAGCTAGTCAGTAATCCTAATTTCACATCAAGGGCTCTTTCCAGAAAAAACACACAGGCAGTTCATCTTTAGTTGAAAGATGGAGGACCTAAGGGACCAGGCTGAGTTGGGGGAGTCCTTCCGCCTCTTTGGGCCTCAGTGTCCCTGCGTGTAAAATGAAGGTATGAGATTAAATGGCTTCTAAAGTCCCCCAGCTTTAAGTCTACCACATGATGATTTTGTCCTGTAAGCAAATAAAGTGAGCGGCTTTACCCAGCCTGGGTGAAAGGATGCTAAGCTCAATTACATACTGCAGAAATGAAGGGAGGTAGGGTGATCACACCTCCTTATACCGAGCCACTGTGACGTAGGAGAGGACCCCAGGGTCCCTTGGCCATCCAAACACCAGACTGGGCCTGAACCATCACAGTTTCCCTTAGCCTGTGTGTCTCACCCTGGGCTTAGCAATCTGACCGGACTGGAGAGCTAAATATCACCTGGGACAGGGCTGAGCTCAAATCATGGACTCCTCTGCCTGGAAGGAGCAGGGGTAGGGCTCTGTGTGGAAACTGTGGAAACTGAGTGAACCCCATTGACGCCATCTTGTGACTCAATTCTGGAGCCAGCTCGGCTCCCTTTCTATTCAGTTATGGGTCTGGTCCAATTTCTGTCTCATGAGAAAACTGTGTTCAATTGTGGGAATTTCACGAGAACCTTATTGCATTGTTTGAACCTAGCCCTGTGTGGCTGGGAAGCTGGACCATCTCTCCCTGCTGCTTAGAGACCCTTTAACTAAAGACCTTGGTTATGCTGACCAGAAACCCCGTCAGGTCCAAAGACTGACGCAAGGAATTTTCTCACAATTATATATCACAAGAAACCCATGTCTCTAATCTGAAAACTGGTAATGGTCAATCCATTATCGTTTCCTCGTTCTTTTGATTGAATACGGAAACTTGGGGGGAGTGGCACATCTCTTTTTCTGATTTCAGAGAATTGCACCTATTTGTTCTTCCCCTCCCAACTTGGAAAGCCCCTAATTTTTCCTCCAATTAAAAATCAGATGACCTAATCTTGAATCCTGGTTTATATCCTCTTAATTGTTCTCTTTTAATGCATAAAAATATGTCTCCCCCTGCCAAGCTGAGGAGGCCTGGTCCCGATTTGTTAGGCAATTGGCACACACTGCATAATAAAGTGATCCGCTTAGAAGCTCGAACGTTTGTGTCCTTGCTTATTGCAGATTTTACTCACCACACCTGAGCTAGTACACAAACCCTGACCTATGTCCACAGACTCCCAGGGAAGGCTATCCATCCGTAACTTTGGCGGACTGACCAGGGTTTGGGCCTATGGGAGTTCAGGAGGGTCCCGTGAGCTTTGGGCTTAGGACTGTCTGATGTCCAGGTACCAGGCAGGCTCAGCTCTGGGATGTGCTTCCTAAGGCTGGCTGCAGGGGGGTGACTTTTTCATCAACAACAGCCCCCCAAGAACAGCTCCTCAGCCCCTGAGAGGCTGAGATACTTGGCAGGGCAGGGAGTCATGTGGAGGAAGGCGCAGCTCTCTGAAGGATGGAAGGAAAGGCCTGTGATGCTGGTAGCAGCTATGACTATGGCAGCAGCCTGCTGGCTGCTCTCTCTGCCTCGAGTCCTAGACGGGAGAACCTCCTTGCCTGAGGGTTCTCTCTGCTGTTCCTCAGGCCTGGCGTGTTCTCCCTCCTCACCTCTGGCTTCCTTCAGGGCCCAGCTAAAACCCCACCTGCTTGATCCTCTCAGGCCTGGTGCCTTCCCTTGGCTGATTATTATCTCCAATGTACCCCCTCTACAACTCGTTTATACAGCAGTCTTGTACTGTTCCCTCATCAGACTGTGGGCCCCTCAAGGGCAGGCACCATACTTTTCATTGCTTGGCATCCCTAGGTTTAGCTCAGTGCTTGGAGCACGATGGGTGTTCACGGGTGCTTACTGACGATGCCCTTGGCAGTTGCCCCAGGCACCCCACTGAAGGGCCCTGCTGGCGGAGGAGGCTCTGTGGAGGTGCCCAAGCCCCGTCTAGGGTCCACTGCCTGATCACAAGGCCAGGTAGGAGCAGCCCTCACTCATGAAAGCGCAGTGGCTCCTTTGTGCATTCTGTGATTGGAGAGGTAGAGGGGGGAAGGGCGGAGCAGGCAGGAGACCTGGCTCGGACACAGCGTGGACAAGCTTGTCGGGGCACCAGACGATTCTCCAAGGCTGTAAGCTACAGATGACATGCTGCTCTACACTAGCGAAGGGAATTTCCTCTGCCTAGGAAATCCCAGGTGCAGATCCCCCAACAGCACCACCTTTGGAGAGACTTCCTTGCCTTCCTGTTGTCCCCCCCCCCCCCCCGTAGAACCTCATCTCCTTGAGGACAAATAGCTGTCATTTTTGTTTTTTATTCCTAGGTAGGCAGCTGGGTGGCTCAGTGGATAGACCTCCAGGTCTGGAGTCAGGAAGACTCATCTTTCTGAGTGCAAATCTGGCCTCAGACATTTACTAGCCGTGTGGCCCTAGGCAAGTCACTTCACCCTGTTTGCCTCAGTTTCCTAATCTGCAAAATGAGCTGGAGAAGGAAATGACCAACCACTCCAGTGTCTCTGCCAAGGAAACCCCAAATGGAGTCAACAAAGAGTCAGATACGACTGAAACAACTGAACAACAACAATTCAGAGTGCCAGCACACAGTAGATGTTCGCTAAACGTTTGCTGAATTGAACTGAATCCCAGTTTTACAGATGGGGAAAGTGAGGCACAGAGAGGCAGAGGGTCTGACAGCTAAGAAGCATCAGAGCTGGGACCCAGCCCTGGGCTCCCTCCCCAGTGTGCCTCTGCCTCCCAACAATTTGTTCTGGTCACGCCATCGAGAAGCTGCAGCACCACCACAGATTATGTCACAGCCCACAAGATCATGCCTTGCCTCAGATCTTCTCCCCGAGGGGCCGTGACTCACCACTGTTTTCTTAAAGGTCGCCGGGTGAGGGACGGAGGCAGGCAAGGGGAGCTGCGTCCAACTGGACACACACCTCCCGGCTGAGGTCAGGTCGCTGCTGCCGAGGCGCAAGCCTCCCACCGACAGTCACCACGTCAGATGCCCACAAGGTCTGCCTCCCTAAAAGCTGCTCATTGACACGGGGGCATGCCCCCACCTCCAGATGTCTCAGGGCCGACCCCCTCCAGGCGGGCCCAGGGCCCTTGGACCTTGCCCAGCACTCTGACGGCCGAGAGTCCCCTGCCCCTCTTCTTTCCTCCGGGCTGCCTATGGTCCCCATGCAGCGCCCCCCCTTCATTAAAGCCCTTCTGCTGACCTGCCCCTGCCCCCACAGGGGACCCTCGATGCCCCTGGGAGCTCTTGTCCCCACTTGGCTGTCCTCTCACCATCCAAAACATTCCCGGTGGTGTGGCAGGGATGAACTTCAGTCCACTTGTGCCTTACAAGTAGTTACTGTCAACCCTTGGGATCCTTCTCTTCCAAGATTCGTTACAAGGCTCCCGGCACCAAGCCAGCCCCTCCTTGTCCCTAGCCCCAGACAAACCGTTTTGGGACCGGAATGTGGCCAGCCAGGGCTACCTTGTACTATTGGCTTCCCAAAAGACCCTGGGCCATTCCATCAGACTTTACAACCTTGGCTCTAAGCTGAGGCTAGCCCAGACCAACCTTCTCCCCCCGAAGCCTCCGGCCGTTGGAGACCTGCCATCGATACACACTTGGTCCCACCGAGGCAGTACCTCAGGCTGGCTCTAGCAGGCTTCGCCACCGTTTCTAAGGGTCCTGCACTCTCACATCCCATAGACCTTCTTTCCTGGAGACCCCAGCTCTCCAGAGGTCACATCTCCCCAGACCAGGCTTGGCTCTGAGGCCAGAACGCACCTTCCCAAAGCACACACATACATCCCCCCTCCAGCTTCCTCAAGGGACTTTCCCACATGGGTGAGAGCCAGCATCGGCTCCTAGGATCACCATCACTCGTGGCTCTGTGCCAGACCTCGGCCCCATCATGCTCTCCTTCCCTCGTCCCTGCTGGCCCTTTCACAGCCTCTGTTTATTAGCAAAGAGAGAACCAGCTTCCTCCCTGATGCGGTGAATGTGGGGCCGCTCAAACTTCAAATGCTGGCCTTCCCCAGCCAGGCACCGCTAATGCCCTCTCCACATACCAGGGAGAAAAAACAGCCCCTACCCCTGGTCCCCCTGCACTCCCACAGCTCTGCCACCCTGTGGCACCTGGCTGCAAAATGACAGGGCTGGACTGCTCAGGTCCTCTCCATTCCTCCAGGCCAGGCTCACTTTCTCCTCTGGCCTTGTTCGTGCTGGTCAGCTCTCGCCTACTTACAACCCTAGTCCATGAGCCCTCCAAGATCCCTCCGGGCTCTGCCCATGTTCTAGGCCCCAGACACGGCCCCTCTAAAGAAGCCAGCAAAGACATTCAAACCATAGTAAGGAAAATCCCAAAGACTCAACCTAGCTGGAGTACCTGGCAAGCTTCCCCAAATCTCTTCCCTCAAAGCTGTCAGGACAGGCCTGAGATGAGAGAAAAGGTAACGGTCTTGGAGGTACATTTGGAGAGGCCTGCCCCAATAGGAATCGGAATCCTCCTGCCCCGTGACAGGCAGCAGCCCAAGTGGGAAAGGCCCACTGGTGCAGGGGAGAGGAGGGATGGACAGTCCTCAAACCATCGCCACCAGGTGTCCCAGGCAGGACAGGTGGGTTCTGCCTGGATCAGCAGGGAGCTGGGCATACCATTCTGGGAAATGAGCCTCCCTTTGGGCAACAGAGAGAACGTCAGGGGCCGCGCTTGCTGACTCACCAGGGTTGGTTATGGTCAGGAGGTCAAGCTGCCGCTGTTGCTGGAAAAGACAAAGCACAAGAAGAATTGTTAGAATCCGGTCAGCAGCTGTGGAGGGCCGGGGAAGGGCAGGGGGAGCACAGTCAGTGCTTGACTGCCTAGTGTGGATGCAGACAGCAAGCCTGTTCTGACATCTACGAAAAGATTAACCACATGTTACATGACATTGGCTGACTGCTTTGGAGAACTGGTCTGCTGACCCTACAGAGGGAAGGATTCTTTGGGCAGAGTCACCAGAATGCACCTGCCCTCCTGACCACAGAACCCCCAGAATGCACGAGCTGGGAAGGCCCTTAGACCCTGTAGAATTGGAAGTTAGAATGGACCAGAACTCCTTCATTTTACAGGCAGAGAAACCAAGGGCCAGGGAAGGAAGGAAAGGGCCTTTTCAAAGGACTTACTCAAACACTTCAGAGGACCTGAACTCAGGCTCTTCAAATCCAGAGGCAATTCTGTCCACCATTCTACTACCCTGGTTGAACAGCTTGCCTCAGTTTCCTCTTCTATAAAATGAGGGGCTTAGTCTAGGTAATAGGAGCATAGGTTTGGAGCTCTATGGGGCCTTGAGTCCACCCTCCATTTGATGGATGAATTGAGGTCCCAAGGTCACAACGGCCACTATTTCCCTGGTTGTCTACCCCTCTTCCACCTCTGACCAGAACCCGGGCTCCCACCTGTGAGACTGTAAGCCCCAGTGGAGGAGCATTCCCCTTGTCTCAGCTGGTATCAGGCTCATGGCACTTCCTGGAGACCTGTGTGCCATGCCACAGGTATGACTTCCCTGCCCCCTACTCTAGGTCCAATTAAATCAGCATGACCATTCCAAGACATGGCCATCAGATGGTTATGATTCAAATCATCATCTCTGCAACTTCCCAGTCAAAACCATATGTCCTTGACCATCACTCCCCTACATATGTCGTCTTTCCCCATTGAATGTGAGCTCCTCAAAGGTAAGGTCTGCTTGCTTGCTTGTATGTGTATCTTCAGCATATTGTAAGTACTTTATAAATGCTATTTTACATATCCAACCGTCCATACACATCTATCCACATCAATCAATCCATTCATCATCTCATCCACATCCATCCATCCATCCATTCACATTTCTCCATCCATCCTTCCATCCATCCGTCCGTCCGTTCGTCCATCCATCCAGCCATCCACATCCATCCATTCACTCATTCATTCACATCTCTCCATCCACCCATTCATCTATACATCCATCCAATAGCAGGTCAGCTTTCAAATCCAGGTCTTCTGCCCCCAGATCCAACTTTAGACAATACTCTGAGCTCTCCTTCCCACTCCAAGGCTCTTAGATCTTTCTCTACAATACTCCTGAAAGGCAAGAAGGGCAAGTATTATTTTACTCATTTTATAGACTAGGAAACTGAGTTCCAGAGAAGGGAAGTCAGCTGTTCAGCGTCACACAATGAGTTAGCTGAGGAGCTGAGATTGGAACCCATAATCTCTTCACTCCACACATAGTTAGTTGGTCTTCCCTTTAGACCCAATCCATAGCAAATAAATGATTTCCCTGGGGTCACAGAGCAAGCCACGTAGGGAGCCAGAATTTGAACCCAGATCTCCTTGCCTTCCACCAAAATGATCTCCAAATTCCATTATCTCATCTCTGATTATCTATGGCTTGGTGATTGTACAGTGGTCTTCCCTCAGGCAGTTCCCACCGCACCCCCATCAGAGGCCAAAGGGCCCGAGAAAGAGGAGACACCGTGATTGCCCAAGGAATCCCACCGATGAATAGAAGGGAGCACAGTCTTCTTCCTAGGGGCGCCAATCAAATCCCCTAATGGCTAGTCCTTCTGCTTTAAATTGTAACCAAAAGAGACTGAGGAAAGGAAGGAAGGGGCAGAGCTTGAGGGAGAAGGAAAGCAACACGGTCTAGTGCCCAAAGAGACCTCGGAATCCATCCAATCCATCCATCCTTGATTAGACAGATGGGGAAAGAAAGTCCAGAGTGGGTAAATGACAGAGGGGGTGACCAAAGGTCACACAAGAAATGGGGGGGGGCTGGAATAGAATCCAGACCTTCTGGTTCCTAGTTTTCATCCTTCCTTTCACCCTTTTTAACACCGAATTGCTTTACTAGCTTTGCTCAAATAACCCTAGAGGAAAGCAGATGGATCTGTAGAAGGCAGGGTGGTCCAGTGGAAAGAGCATTAAACATGAAATCAGAAGCCCTGGACGTGACTCCTAGCTCTGCTACTCACTGCAGACCTTGGGGAAGTCTCATCCCCTCCCTAGGCTTCAGTTTCTCCACTCGCCAGCTTGGCCTGTGTTCTGAGGATGAGGTGAAAGAGCAGGTTCCGGAACCCAAGTCCGGCCCTCTGCAGTGGGAGTAGTCTTGGAGCCTCTGCTCAGAGACCTCGAAGGAGACAGAGTCCACCATCTCTGGAGACAATTCTTGGGGGAAGGAGGCTTCTCCTTAGAGCTAAGCCCCAAATGGGCTCTTGGTAAGATCCCCCTCTGGGGTCAAGCACAGCCAATCCCTCTTCCTGGGGACAGGTCTTAGAGATTGGGACAGCTCTCCCATTCCCCCGCTCCCACCCCAGTCTTCTCCACACCAAACATTCCCAGTTCCTTTGATGGGTCCTCATGTGACACAACCTCAAGGCCCTTCCCCGTTCTCTGGACACTGGGTGCTCTCCATTGGATCAATGTGGCCCTTGGAATCCCAGGACGCTAAGAGCACAGCTTCTGAGGCCAGCGAGGTCCACTCCTTCAAGCTGAAGTGACTCACTCACCACCAAATTATCTGAGTCAGGATTTGAACCCAGGTTTTCCTGACTCAAAGGCCATAATGCCGTTCTGCCTCTGTTCAGCTGGGGCCCTCAGATCTTAACAAAACATTACAGATTTCTAAATGCTTTGTTAAGTTTTACATAATAGCAAGGAGCAACCATGGGCTAGTAAGCGAGAGAGGCAGGATTCGAGGCCAGGGCTTCCTGACTCCAAATGGAGCGCTCTGTCCTCTAGGACACACACCTTCTCATCCTCCTCATCCTCTTCACCAGCAGCACCAACCCTGACTAGTCGGGCACCTTGGCCTCCTCAATTCCATGCTTTTCCTGATTAGGGAAACTATGAAGGGGAGAGACAACAGCTCTGTCTACACATGCCAAGACATCTGGGCCCTTCAGCAGGAAACTTCATCTATTCTCCAAATGTTCTGCCCCCAGAAGGTAGAACAGCCCATTGGCTGAGCTCAGGTTGGCACTGAGCACACCAGTCCTTGATGGACCACAATGCTCGCCAACAGAACCTGGCAGCCAAGGTAGCTGGGAATGAAAGTAACCGCTCCTGCTTCTCCCTGTCAGGGACAATAACAAATGTGTTTCTAGAGCTCTAGGAGGTCCACAATGCTCCTTCCTCAAAGTGTTCTGTGAATGCCATCATGCCCACTTTACAGATGAGGGAGATGAGATTCAGAGAAGGAAAATTCCTAGAGTTAGAACAGGGAATGTCAGAGCGGGGAGGGGAGGTCAGGCCTTGGGAAGCTGGGGGATATTATTTGTGTAACTTGGCCTCAGTTTCCCCTTCTGTAGTAGGAGGGGCTTAGACTCACTGGTCTCTAAAGTCCCCTTTCAGTTCTGACATTCTACATCTAACAGGCTCCAAGAGACATCCAGCCCTTAGATACCCAGCAACCAGTGTAGGAATGCTTGTCCTTGGGATCTGACTCAGCTAGAAGGGATACTACTACTGCTGCTGCTGCTGAGGGCCCACTGCCAGTAGCCTACCCCCTCTCCTAGCTTCCCTGTCTGGGGGCAGGAGGGGCTGTGGAACAGCATGAGAGCCCCCATTTCCATCTTTCCACCCATCAGCCCTTGGGTTCTGCTTAGCCCAAAAGGGCACGCTGGAGAGGGGGCAGACTTCAGCTCATGGTGAGGACAGGTTTTCCAACAATCAGAGCCAGCCAAAAAAGGAACAGGCTGCCTGGGAGACAATGGTGTTATAAGCAGGGATGAATGTTTAACAACCTGCTCTCTGAAAAACAAAACAGAACTGTACTCACAGCACACTTTGCAGTTTAATCTGCATCATTCACATTGACTCCATCACTTCCTAAAGTCTAGACAATCAACAAAATAATAAATCAAGCCCTGATTTGTAATTGTTGCCATTTTCTGAAGTCTAAATGCTCACAATGAATATTTAACAACTGGCCCTTCAAGCTGGCTCTAGCACACTAATGTTGATAAGAAACCAATCAATCCACTAGGATTGATTAGGTGCTTACCATGTGCCCAGTTCGGGGACTACAAGCAAATAGTGAAAAAAGACCCACCCTCAAGAAGCATATATTCTCCCATTCATTCACTCACTTGCTCGTTTCATTCATTCATTCATTCATTCACTCACTCATTCATTCATTCATTCACTTATTCAATGCCATAAGCATTTCTGTGCTTGGATGGTGCCCCTGGGAAAACCATGATGGCTGTCGACCACATTTCACTGTCTAATGTGCTTAAAATGCCTGTGGAAGAAGATGGAGAAGGGATGAACGCCATCTCCTGCCCAGATGCTGGTGGGCACACGCAGCTGCAAAGGCCAGCCACTCTGGAAGAAGACAGAATTGATGCTGCCACCCAAGTTCTCGTACTGACTCATCAAAAATCGGGCAGTTCTTGCTGCCTGGGAGGTCCCAGCTCTGCCTCTTAGGAGCTTTATAGCTTTGGGCCAGTCACTTCTTCTCTCTGAGACTCTTATTTCCTCACTTGAAAAATGTGGACAATGAAACTTGAGCTACCTGGCTCACAGGGCTGCTGGGAGGAGAGGAATCTTGTGTCTGTCATCCTGAAAGTCCAAGAAAATTGGGCTCAGTTCATACTAACTCCCATTGGCCACAGAGCCCGGGGACCACAGAACCATAGGCTTTCAGAGCTGGATCAGAACTCAGTGGCAGACCACTCCATGATTCAAGTCCTTCCTAGAATTCCCTAGAGTTGGGATTGGGACCCTCCCCCTTCTAAG